GGGCTCTCGCTCCACTTCCGCTTTGCTGGTCAGTCTTTGTCCCCGGGGCCTGTGCCGCGGGCGGAGTTCGCTGTCGTTCTCTGTCCCCGAGAGGGGCGAGCAGAGCCGCGGCCCGGTGCGCGCACCACTTGTCCGGCCAGGGCCCCGGGGCCCTGAGGGCGGGCTCCGTTTCTTCTCGTTTTTATCGTCGCTGTGCCCCAGCCGTGCCTCCTGATGGCCGTGCGGGCCTTGGTGTTCGGAAGCGGGTCGCTCCGAACACGGGAAGCTGTCCCTGCGTCCTGAGACGTTTGTCGCTGAATGCCTCTGCGGCCAGCGGAAGAGAGGGGAGGCCGCGGCTTGAGTTCCACGGGTCCCTTCTGGCGTGAAGCCGCCAACGCTCTCTGTCTCCTGCGGCCCTTTTGTCTTGCCGTCTGCCCCGGCTGGTACTAACCGGTTCCCTCCACCTTTCCATCCTCTTAGCTCCTCTGCCTGGGGCTCTTGGGGGTCCTATTTTTTGCATCTGAATGTGTGACACACTCGGTATCTTGGGGTGGCGTATGGGCTGACCAGGCGGACCAGCTACCTTTGGGGCGTGTCCGTTTCCTTTCGGGTTTGGGGGAAGCAGCGAGGAAGCTCTCGTGCCCGCGCTCGTTCTGTTCCTGCCGGTGTGTGCGACAGGCCCGGCCACGGCTGTGACGTCTGCTGCCTAAGAGGCTGCCTGTTCCCTCTGGCCGCCGTTCGGGCTTTCACTCGCTCAGAGTCCCCTTCCGCGGCCCCCCAGGTCTTCCTGGTGTGCGTTCTCCTTCGGACCCGCTGCGCTGGACTCCGCAGGTGGCAGGCCGATGGCCCGCGCTCATCTCGGCACGTTCTCGGGCTGCCCTTGTCTCTTCAGACACTTGCTCTGTCCGTTTTTCTGTCGTCTCCTCGGAAGCTCAGGCCACCTGGGAACTAGGTGTCCGACAACGCGAGAGTCCTGTCCTTTTGTTGCGTGCGCCCCTCCCTGTCCTCTCTGCCGTCAGTCCGGGTATGTTCTGTAGCCCTGTCCTCGGCTCCTCTTCACTGAGTCTGCTTGGCTGTGACTGTCATCTGAGGGTTTACTTCTAGGTCTTGTGCTTTTCGGTTCTGAAATATCTGCTTGGCGTCTTTCTGGGTGTCGTTTCGTTTCCTGTTGAACAGTTTAGTCTTTCTCAAAGTCTGTGTCATCTCTTTTCCCTTTCGCATTCTCATACGGTGACTTGAAAGCACTTGTGTGCTGACATCAAGCTTTGAGTCCGCTTCACCTGTTGTGATAAACGGTCCCCTAGTGCAGCCTGTCACGTGTCCTGAGAATTTATGGAAAGTCTGGTGTCGCGCATCAGCTCACCAGGTTGCTGGGGGACAGTCGCACGTTCCCACAGGGACTGCCTGTCCTCTTCCCTCCCGGAGAGGCAGTGGCCAGCCTGGCCCAATGGCCTGCTCAGGGACCGAGCCCGCTGGGCTGGGTGGGGCAGCTGCAGCACTGGCCAGCCCCAGGCCGCCCTTGGGCCAGCCCTCCCGGGCTCCTGACTAAGAGCCTGGCACGGTTGCATCTCCTGGTCCCGTACCCTGTGCGGGCCGTAACTTCCCTTCCCAGCTCCCACGTCTGCAGGTGTTTCCGGGGAGGCCACCTTGCTTGTGGCCAAGTGCACGAGATTTAGTCTCCGGGTGATACGAGGCCAGGAAGAGTCGTCTCTGTCCCAGCAGGTCGGACAGTGTAGCTCGTCTCGACCCTCAGCTCCAGGAGATTTTCCCAGTCTACGTCTTGGCTTGAGCTCATTCCCCGCCCCCTTTCCCAGGCCTGTTCACACCTCGATCGGCAGCTTTCGGCAGAGATGAGTATGACCTGCGCAGGCTCCTTTTAGGAGCACGTGGGCTCCCAGGATCCACGCACTGCAGGGGACTTTACTGGGCCTTTCCAGATCCCCGCAGCCCGTGGAGGCTCCCACTGGGAAAAGTGGCTTGGTCTTTGGGGACCTTGGAGAATGTCGGCCCCCCCGGCACAGGCAGCTCTCTGGGTTTATCTTCCCTGCTAAGAGCTCCTCGCCTGTGGCCAAACTGAGCAAAGGACCTGGAATGACAGTGGCTCCCCTGGGAAGGGTTCACCCGTCTTTGGAATTGTAGGTCATCCGAACCTGCAACCCCGTGTCTGTCCAAAGGCTCTTAAATTCGGACTGCCACCCCTGTGCGCTGCCCTGGTCTCCGCAGTCTGAGGAGGGTCCGCTGCTCCTTGTCCTTGGTCGTGAACCTGCCTGGAGGCCAAGTGTCCTGGTGGAGGGGGTGTCCCTCGCCATGATTTCTGGTGGCTTTCGTCACATTTCCCAGGACGAGGAAGGTTCACAACCACTCAGAGTGACTTTTCTGCTGGAGGCGTCCAGTCCCATGGTCTCATCCGTGCCGACGCCGGGCCTGCTGTGGAGAAAGCGCTCATTCACACATCGTCTTGAGGCCGAGGCCCAGACCAAGCGGCCTGGCACCTCACGCTGTCCGGCGGCTTCACCCTTTGAGGGTCTCGGTCTCTGCGAGGCTCACAGACTCCACCTCACATTTTCAGGGGCCCTGGCCTCGTCTCTAGGACCTGTTCAGCTGGCCAGCGTGACTCTAAGCTCTGGGCGCTGGCGACTGGCGCAGGAAGTTGTGTGGTCTGTGTGCACTTTCCAGCTAGGCTTCCCCTACGTCACTCTAACTCGGGTGTCTCACCACGTGTCTGAAGCCCTCAGCAGGCGTCCATGAACACACATGAGGGAGTCCGGCAGCACCTTATCTGGATGTTTGCAGCGGAAAGTGTTCAGGGTGTCTGGGGTGGCCGGCCTAGTGGAGGGAGGGGGCCTCTGGGTCACCAGCTACCTGTGCGACCCGCCGTGGAGCAAGTGTGAGATGAGGGGCGGATCGAGAGACGATGACTCGGGCACGTGACGGTGTGAGCAAGGCGAAGGCTTTGGGGAAAGGCTGGCCCCCAGGCCCTGCCCGGGTAGGGGACCTACAGGTGGGAAGGGCGCCGACAGCCACCGCTGGGGGTGCCGGGAGGCCAGAGGCCCTGTGGAAGGAGCCCCGCCCTGCTGACATGCGCCCGGCTCCCGCCACAGGCCCACGCTCCTGCGCGACATGCTGCCCCTCTGCGTCTTGCTCCTAGTCACGGGGTTGACCATGGCGCAGAACGAGACGGCTGAGCAAGGAAGGGCTTGTAAGTATCATCCCTCTCGCGTTGCCTGAGTTCCCTGGGGTCGTTGGAAGGGTACGAGCGCACCTGCCATCGTCTCAGCCAACTGAAAGCTGTATTTTCAGCACAGGTGCTGGGCACAGGGTGGATTTGGAGACTGTCCCTGAACAGGAGAGCGTCATGGGGAGGAAGCTGTCCCCCAAGGCAGCGGCCCGCAGACCTGACGGGTCTCTAGCTGTGGCCCTTCCCTGTACGAGGTGGGCAGGAGTGGCCGAAGCCAGGGAGATTGGGCAGGTGCTGGCCTCCGATGACCGTCAGGCCATCTTGCGTGGTGGGCCCTGTCCGCAGAACACAGGGCTCCCTCTCCTGGCTGCCTTGTGTGCGTGTGCCCTAGAGAAGTCTCCTAGAGATATCCCCTAGAGATTGTCTCCAGGAGCAGGTAAAAGCTTCTGCTGGGCTCAGCTTCTGCCCGGGGAGCTGGTCCTGCCCAGACTCGGGGCCCGCGGAAGGCGGAGCTGTGCAGACCTCGGGAAGCCCGTGGGCGCGGGGCAAGGTCGCGGAGTGCTGGGCACAGGGCGGAGGGCGCTCATGTGAGCGGGCGCCCCACGCGGCTTTTTCCTTAGGGACCTACAGTCTGAAGTGCTACGACTGCCAGACCATAAACGACTTCAATTGTCCCAACATTAGAGTTTGCGTCTACGAAATTCGGCGCTGTCTGACAGTCTCCATGCGTAAGTACTTGCTCGTCTGTTTTACACCTTTCGATTAGTCACCTGCCTGAGCAGCTTCAGGGGGCAGGGCCAGTCTGCTTTTGTCTCTGCGACCGGCCTGTGACCCTTGGCATGTCCTGCTCCATGTTGTCAGACACTCAGCTCAGCCTGGGAAAGGACAGTGTTCTCCGCACTGTCCAGCCACAGGCTTTGCGACGTGAGGTGGCCTGTTGGTAGAGTCTGCAGTGTCTCCAGGGGGTGGGAGCGTTGCTGCTCCTCCAGGTCTCACCCCGCGCCAGGCCCTGGGCGTCTGCATGGACACTCCAGTGCAGCCTGGGTGACTCCCCGTCGCGTCCCAACTCTGGTGGCCTGGGAGAGCTTCCAGCTAAGCAGGCCCAAGAAGAGGACGCACCGTGGACTTCTTGGGACAGTTCTTACCACAACGGATGACAAGGCCGAGTGTGGGGTCAGGGGAGAGCCTGACCCTCCAAGATGCTTTTGGCAGAGACACTCGTCACCTGAGAAAATTGTTCCTCAAGAGCCTGACCCTCCAAGATGCTTTTGGCTCTTACGCAGAGACACTCGTCACCTGAGAAAATTGTTCCTCTTGCCAGGGCCCCACCTGGAAGAGCACACATGGCCAGAGGCCCGCGCTTGTGTAATTAACCCAGAGGCTGCAGCCAGCATCAGGCATGACAGGGAGTCTGGTGTAGGGTCTGCTTGGGGCCTGTCTGCGGGCCTCTGCTCTCCTGTGTGTGTGAGTTCTTTGCTGCTTCACATCCCATTCAGTGTTCAAAGCCCCCTGTAAAACAACCCTCTGAATGCCACATCACCCTCCTACCAACTGCCGTTACCCTGCAGGCATCTGCCAGTTTGGGACAGTTTGGGACACAGGCAGGAGCTACGGATGTGTGCTTTGTCCCTGCAGTGGGCACCTGTTTTCATGTGTGTCTCAGCCAGTTGACATCCAGTGTCGTGCCCAAACCCACCCTGTGATTCTTACTGTGACTGCAGAACTCCCTTCTGTGGGCAGCATCAGGAGGCATGAGCGACAAGGCTCGTTACTGACAACCCCTGGAAACTCCAGGGCAGGCCTGGGGCACGGCGAAGAGCTTGCGGTCATGACTAGGGCGAGCTTAGCCCTGGGGTTCTGCTTTCATTGGAGTTGAGGGTAGGGACCCAAGGTTTTGAGAGTTCATTCTTCATTGGTCAATTTAAAACGTAAGACTGGCAATACTTTTATTTGTGACAACATGGACGGGTCTTCAGAACATTCTGTTTAGCGAAATAGGTCGAGTAGAAGAAGTCAGGAACCATATGCTTTCACTCGGAGAGTCCAAAACTGGGGTCCAAAACTGAAAGGAACAAATAAACAAAACCAGTAGGGAAACAGAAACTCGCAGACGCAGACGAGAGTTTAGTGGTGACCAGAGGCGAAGGGGAAGGGGGAGGTGGATCAGGGTAAAGGGGGTCAAATAAACGGTGACAGGAGATTTGACGTTAGGTGGTGAACACGCAACGCAATATTCGGACAGCATGTTTTTGAATCGTATACTTGGAACTTACATAATTTTATTAACTGATGTCACCCCAGTGAATTTAATAAATGGAAAAAAAAATTTAAAGGGAGGGAAAAGAACAAATGAGACCCAAATGGTCAGTTATGGAAACCAAGATCTCTAACGCAAAGGAGCTGGGGTGGGGGCGGAGGCTCTCCATCCGGTCCGGTGGCCAGCATTGCGTTGATTGGAGATAGCCCCCTGGCAGCGGTGGCCTCTCCGAAGTCCTTGGCAGTTGAACTTAAGTCAGGCACTCGCGTTGCAAAACGGAAGATGGACTTTTGGGGCGACACTGCGGTGCCTGTGTCGCTCCTGAAAGGGGCTGGGAACTGTGTTCCCCAGAATCTCATTCCTGTAGGGCTCTGGGTTCTACTTGGCCAAGAGTGCCCATGTGAGATTTGCAAGGCAGAGGCGAAGCAGAGACTGTTATTCTTGAAAGTCACGGTGTTTGACGCAGTCACAGTGGTCTTAGACAGTGAAGGACACTGGGGGACCCCAGCCTGTTCTCGCACTTATGCTTCAGTCCATCCAGTCATCTATTCCTTTAAGCCTAAAGCACAGCTTAAACCCCCAACAGGTGCTCCGAGGACGCACGTGACACATGTCTTCAGGAGTCCCCTCCGTGCGGGCCAGAACGGGGGGGACAGAGGCGCGTGTTTTGGCTCCTCCACCCTGGCTCTGCTTCCAGTGGACCTGGCTCTGGACCACCCCTTTCCTCATCAGCCTCCCCTGATAACCCCCATTTCTCAGCCTCCCCCCACAGTTGTGGAAGCTGAACACTTGGATTCAATAACTTATTTCCATAGAGCTTCAGGGGTTCGGTTTTCCTGAATGACCAGGATGAGTATTGGGACAAAGAATCTGCGAGAGCGTTCGAGGCACTGGAGAGTGCAGGATGCTCACGTAGCTCCCCTCAGGACCCTTGCTGATCCCTGGGGCTGGACAAGGTAGTAAGTAAAACCCTCTGTGGGAACTCGGAGTGTCAGACTGAGCGTCCACCCTCACTCGGAATCAGCGAGGCACTGGTGGACAGATGGACACGCATCCTGTGGGGCAGAACAGATACCCTAGAAATAGCCCCCCCCCCCAAATACGCCCAAGCAACTCCGGACAAAGATGCAAAAACAATTGATGAGGAATAGCTTCTTCAGCATCTTCAGGCAAGAGTGAACCTCAATCTAAATCTCAGATCCGTATTGAAAACTAACAGATGGACTTAAATATAAAAGGTAAAACTCTAAAAGTTTTGGAAAAAGAAAATGCCTAGGAGAAAATCTTTGGTATCTAAAGCTAGACAAGGAGCTGTTAGACTCGATGGGGAAGCATGACCGGGAGAGAGAAAATTGGTGACTCTAGACCTCCCCCAGCTCTACCTATTTTTCTACTTGAAAGACCCTATTCAGAGGATTTAAAAGAAAAACAAAACCAACTACCGACTAGGAGAAAGTACATGCGAACCACATACCCAACGGAGGACTAATATCCATCTCCGGTACACGGGGCTCCCGAAATGCAACAGTAAAGATGCGGCCAGTCTCACCAGAGAATGGGCAGTGGATTCACACGTGGCACGTAAGCACGTCAATAGACTTTCAGCGTCTTTATCCACAAGAGAAATTCAAATTAAAACAGCAGTTAGATATCAGGAATCGGAGCGGCCAAATGAAAAATAGTGACCACATCAGATGCTGGCCAGGATGCAAAGAAGCCAGACTGTCCATTCGTCGCCAATGACGAGGACAAGGTGCAGCCAGTGTGGAAACAGAGTGGCAGTTGCTTTAAAAACTAATCGTGCACCTACTGTAAGACCCCGAAATTGCACCTCTGAGGATATTTCCCAGAGAAATTAAAACTTAACACCACACAGAAACATGCACATCAGTGTCTTCGGCCATTGCTTTGGTAATAGGCCAAACCTGGGGACTCCCCAGATGCCCTGTGGTGGCAGAGGCAGGAGGCGGAGCAGAGCATAGACGCCCGCGCCTCCCGAAGCGAACATCCAGGGAATTCTGCTCGATGGAAAAAGGCAGTCTCCAAAGGTTCCTTTTATGTAACATTCTAGAGATGACAAACTTACAGAAATGCCCAGCAAATTTGTTGTGTGGGGTCGCGGTCAAGGGATCTGGGTGGAAGAGGCTAGTGTGTCCATGCGACGGATTTTGGTGGTGGCGAAACTTGCTCTCCTCGCTATTTGGAATGGTAATCGCCCAGTAGTTGTGATATTGCATGGAAGTTTTTTCAAAATGTTACCTTGATGTTACCTGTAACAGAGTAAAACGCCGGTCCCCAACTTTCTCGACATCAGGGCCCGGCGCTCCCATGAGAATCTAAGGCCTAATGATCTGAGGCGGGGCCGAGGCGGCGATGCCGGCGCTGGGAAGCGGCTGCAGACACAGATGAAGCTTCACTCACCTGCCCACCACGTGTGTGCATGACAAGTTAGTTGCGAAGGTTAAATGCTCACGGATCTATGAAGGGCAAGGAAGGGCGAAGGCGCCTTGAGGAAGAAGAGCACGGGTGGGACTTGCACTCTCGGCATCGAGAGTATTTGTATAGCTTCCTTCAGACAGTGCAGTGTTCGTGTCAGGATGGAAAAATGCACCAGCGGGAGAAAAGAGACCTCGGAAAAAGCCACGTACGTCCGGTCACGTGCTTGCTGACATGGTGGCCCTGCGACGAGGTGGGGAGTGGCACTCGTGTCTGCGAATCAGCCGTGGATGGATGAGAGATCACGCATAATAGCGACACCGTGCGAAAGAAGCAGCTTCTGGTGGTTTGTAGATCTCAGCGTAAATACGAAAAGTGAAAACCATTTTCAAAGAAAATGTAGAAGAATATGTCCTTTGGATAATAAAGAATTTTTTAAAAAACCGAACAAAACTGTGCTAGTCACAGCAGAAAAAAATTGATAAACGAGATCACACAAAAATGCGCAACTCTGCCCCTGAGGATACACTGATCCGCCAGCACGCCAGCCACAGGTGCGCAGAGACCGCTGCCAAACACACACCTGCGCAGGGCCTCCCTGCTGAAGAGAGAGCGCGCTCCTCCCCGCGAACCATGGCGGAAAAGCAGACCAAGCAGCCGGAAGGCGGTTTACCAGAGAGCGACACCGAATGGGTCGGAAAAATAAGAACGGTCGTTCGGCATCACTCTTCTTGGCCGAAAAGCGACTTAAGATCTCACCACAGTAACACCAGGAGGATGACACACCTTGAAAGCGACCAGCAGGGCACGGCGTGCGCACGACCCTCTGCGGCATTGGTAGCACGACCAGGCCGCAAGGCACACCAGGACCTGCACCAGCCGCAGCACCGGGCGGGGACACGAGTCAGACAGGCGCTCGGCCTCGCTCAAGACGAGGACAAGAAGAGCCACTG